GTAAATTTATAAAAATAAACAATTAAAATATATACAGTCAGGTCCATAAATATTGGGACATCGACACAATTCTAACATTTTTGGCTCTATACACCACCACAATGGATTTGAAATGAAATGAACAAGATGTGCTTTAACTGCAGACTGTCAGCTTTAATTTGAGGGTATTTACATCCAAATCAGGTGAACGGTGTAGGAATTACAACAGTTTGCATATGTGCCTCCCACTTATTAAGGGACCAAAAGTAATGGGACAATTGGCTTCTCAGCCGTTCCATGGCCAGGTGTGTGTTATTTCCTCATTATCCCAATTATAATGAGCAGATAAAAGGTCCAGAGTTCATTTCAAGTGTGCTATTTGCATTTGGAATCTGTTGCTGTCAACTCTCAAGATGAGATCCAAAGAGCTGTCACTATCAGTGAAGCAAGCCATCATTAGGCTGAAAAAAACAAAACAAACCCATCAGAGAGATAGCAAAAACATTAGGCGTGGCCAAAACAACTGTTTGGAACATTCTTAAAAAGAAGGAACGCACCGGTGAGCTCAGCAACACCAAAAGACCCGGAAGACCACGGAAAACAACTGTGGTGGATGACCGAAGAATTCTTTCCCTGGTGAAGAAAACACCCTTCACAACAGTTGGCCAGATCAAGAACACTCTCCAGGAGGTAGGTGTATGTGTGTCAAAGTCAATAATCAAGAGAAGACTTCACCAGAGTGAATACAGAAGGTTCACCACAAGATGTAAACCATTGGTGAGCCTCAAAAACAGGAAGGCCAGATTAGAGTTTGCCAAACGACATCTAAAAAAGCCTTCAAAGTTCTGGAACAACATCCTATGGACAGATGAGACCAAGATCAACTTGTACCAGAGTGATGGGAAGAGAGAGTATGGAGAAGGAAAGGAACTGCGCATGATCCTAAGCATACCACCTCATCAGTGAAGCATGGTGGTGGTAGTGTCATGGCATGGGCATGTATGGCTGCCAATGGAACTGGTTTCTCTTGTATTTATTGATGATGTGACTGCTGACAAAAGCAGCAGGATGAATTCTGAAGTGTTTCGGGCAATTTTATCTGCTCATATTCAGCGAAATGCTTCAGAACTCATTGGACGCCGCTTCACAGTGCAGATGGACAATGACCCAAAGCATACTGCAAAAGCAACCAAAGATTTTTTTAAGGGAAAGAAGTGGAATATTATGCAATGGCCAAGTCAATCACCTGACCTGAATCCGATTGAGCATGCATTTAACTTGCTGAAGACAAAACTGAAGGGAAAATGCCCCAAGAACAAGCAGGAACTGAAGACAGTTGCAGTAGAGGCCTGGCAGAGCATCACCAGGGATGAAACCCAGCGTCTGGTGATGTCTATGCGTTCCAGACTTCAGGCTGTAATTGACTGCAAAGGATTTGCAACCAAGTATTAAAAAGTGAAAGTTTGATTTATGATTATTATTCTGTCCCATTACTTTTGGTTCCTTAATAAGTGGGAGGCACATATGCAAACTGTTGTACTTCCTACACCGTTCACCTGATTTGGATGTAAATACCCTCAAATTAAAGCTGACAGTCTGCAGTTAAAGCACATCTTGTTCGTTTCATTTCAAATCCATTGTGGTGGTGTATAGAGCCAAAAATGTTAGAATTGTGTCGATGTCCCAATATTTATGGACCTGACTGTATTTTTTAAAGCATTTCTTCACACCTGCCTAAAACCTTTGCACAGCACTGTATGTATATTTTTAAATTTATGGTGTTAAAAAGGTAGGATTTCCCAGACTAAAGTCTTAGGACTAATGATGCACATGGACATAAGTAAAATGATCCAAACATAGTGCCAGAAGTTGGCCGAAATTGCTTCTAATGCTTGTTTTTATGCACATTTCAGTGAGAATGAGTGTTAATTATTGGCTTGAATATTAATTTATTCTGGCCACTAGAATATACATATACCCATAGGTGCATGTTTACAGACATAAATTATGCAGACAAATTCTGTTCTGCAGGTTTGAGGCGTTTTTATATGCCCCAGAATGCTGCTCTAAAATACGCCTGTAAACGACACAATGTACATGTACGCATTAGATAACCTACCCTGCTTTCAGAGCAGACACCTCTAACATTTTCTCTGCCATGGGCATGATACCGTCGCCATCTGATATAAGTAGTAATTTCTCTTACTCAATTTTAGCTGCTGAGATGTAAACAAGTTCTTTTAACAAAAGTGTTAAAAAAAAATTCTAAACCTTAACGTTCTGACACATGTAATGTAAAATATTAATATGAAATATTTCACATTACCCTGATAAAAAAAAAATATAAAAGCGAGAATGTGTGTAAAATTACTATGTGTTCCCTTTAACCAGTAAGGTATAAAAGTGTATATTTTTTGTCTGGGGTTTGATATGCATGCACTGCAGTCCTTCTGTACCCTTCAAAGCTACTTATCCAGCAGCTGTGCACATGCATTCATCTGTTCCTCTTAGCCACGACAGAGCAGAACCTATTATTGATTATGATGGTTAAAGAATCTGAGTGAGGGAGAATGAGGCAAGTCTGTTTCAAGAGCTCTTAATTCATGTGCAACTGTATTGGATTGCGGATTAAACTAATGTGCCATATGCTCAGAGCTTGCCAAGACAAACACCTGTAGATGTTTAAATATTTGTCCCTTTATCTGACAGCAACAAAGCCATCTGCCTGATGAATAATAAATATTCTATTTCATCCATTTATTGCCTCTTTCTTAAAGACATGAGGAATTTAGTTTCGACTACATTCACACTTGCCTTCTGCATTTGTTTTTTTTAAATGCAGAGAAATTGATCTCGGAAGTATAACCAAATGCTATAGTTAGCAGATCACTTTCTCCGGCATTTAAATGTACTTGCATTTGTACACATTCAAAGTATATAATTTGCCCCTGGATGCACGTAACCTGAATGCACCTAAACATAAACACACAATGGGGGTTGATTTACTAAACCTGGGGAGTGCAAAATCTGATGGAGTTGTGCATGGTAGCCAATCAGCTTCTAACTTTAACTTGTTCAGTTAAAGTGGTTGTAAACTCTATACATCCGTTCAAAGTGCTGAATTTATAAAGCTTATCTGAAAGTTCAGGAAAAAAAGGGATGGAGAGGTGAAATTACACTCTTCAGATCTCAGTGAGGAGAGCTGATTGGAGGGAAGGTACACCCCCCCCCCCCCCCCCCCCACACACACACACAGCTCACAAGAACAGAGCTCAGGCTGTCAATCTGCAGGAGCTCCCTTTCCTGTCACCATTTTTCTCTTGGTGTCAGGAAAACTTGCCAGAAGTGACTCATGCTGATAGCAAAAGAATGAGCAGATTGACAACCTCAGCTCTGTTCCTGTGTGCTGTGTGGATGGGGGTGTCTCTCTTCCCTCCAATCAGCTCTCAGAGCTCCCCCCTCACTGAGCTCTGCAGAGTGTAACTTCAGCCCTCCGCCCCACTTTTTATTTTATCTCCCAGACAAGCTTTATAAATTCAGCACTTTGAACGGATGTATAGAAGAGAAGAATGCAGTTAGATGCTGTAGGTACACCTTATGTAGGAGGATTTGTTTCATCTCTGTGTATCAACTGAGGCCAGTCACTTCACTAGGTATATGTAAAGGTTTACAAGTATTTTAAGTCATTGACCATGAACAAGTATGTATATTAGAGCATAATTAGCTGAATACTTGTTCTTACTCAAAATACTGAAGTAAGATGTTAAGTTTAGATAGCCAGGCATCTAGCATATTCAATAGAAAAGGGCAGCAATGCAGCCTCTATGCCAAACACCTCCATCCCCACAAAAAAAGGTTTCCTTTAAATTGCAAAAACTGTAATATTATGCATTACACTTAATGAATTGTACACAGTTACAGTACAATTAAAACAAGAGCTTTTTAGAGAACTGGTTAGTAAAAAGGTTAGCTGTTGTCAATTGGAGCTAAATTGATGCAAGTGAAGTTTATAGAAAACATGATCATATTAATTGCCCATAGCAGACAGATTCTAGCTCTGGATTTTATTGGACATGTTTCTTAAAGGAAAAAGAAAAACTATAAGCTATACTTTTTTTTCTATATACGTAATTGCAGGTGATCAGTATGTAAATGTTCCTTTTTTGTGTGCATGAATGCTAAATCGTGTACACATATAGCAGTTTTTTAAAGGAGATCACAATAAAGCCTCAACAATTTCTTCATCTCCAGAGAAAAGCTGGCACCATGTTTCCTAGAGCATCATCCAAGATTTTCATCAAATTCTGCGCTAAGATGCTGGCCAGGGAAGATGCAGTCATGTAAATGTTGATGTATGTACAGTAATATTTATGTACATGGCTGTGTATAAACAGGTTAGCACACACGAAGCTCAACATACTGTTGCAGTCTCTGATTTTTGCCAGAAAATTGTATTAAAAAGTGAGAGAAAACAGAATATTCTTCCTCCTGCCTGTAGCAGACTAAGATGACCTTATTCTCTCAGTATGGTTTTATCATGTAGCCTTTGATAGCTTGTGCCTGGGAGTTAGTTTTTATTGGCAAAAGGTAGGGTTTTTTTTTTTTATTATATTGTCATTGACACATTAGAATTTTTTCCATGCAAGCATGTTAAGTGATATTTACCTTTATGGTTCAACTGCTTCCCATTCCCAGTCTGTAGAGTAACATTCCCTTGCACATGGTCCCTCTGCAGAAACCTTTTTCAACTTTTGACAGCCAGTACCTGCTACTATGTGTGACTGCTAGCCTGTCACTTGACATCGCTAGTTCCCACTAATGGTCAGTCAGAGTGGTTCACGATCACTATATCAGCTATAACATAGTGATCACATGTAGGCTGGATGCTTAATTTACCAAAAGACTCCTTCAGCCTACATATATCACAGCAGCCTTAATATTGTAGTATGCATCTGTTTAATACTGTGATTGTTAGATATAATTAACATTGTAAAAAATAATTAAAGCATTTCAAATGTTATTTTTTCTGTCTGGTCTTTTCAGGCACAGGAAGTCATATATTTTTGGGTTATACTGCTAATCTGTTAAGTGTTACTAAACCCAGGACCCTGCATTCACTGTATCTGGACTCACACAGTACACATAACATGGAAGTGCAATTATTTTAGTAGATATAAACTGCTAAATACCTTTTCTAATCAACAGAGCAGTTTTATGACTTCTATCAGTGTCCAGCAGAGCACTGGTTAAAGCTTGTAAAAGGAGTTTTAATTTTGCTCTAGGAGGATTCAGAACCCCTGACCTCTGTCTGGACAGTGCTGATTAGCCCTGTGCTGATCAGCCCTGTGCTGATCACATGCACTCTCCCAAGAAAAAAAAAACTCTGTGACTCTGTGAGACTTCAAGATATGCAGGTTATTTTCAGGCAAGTTCTCTCTTAGGGCTTGTCCCAAGGTCGCCTTTCTCTTCTACAGCTCTGGGAGTCGAGCTTGGAGTTGAACTCTATTAGATCTGTATTCCTCCTTGCAAATTTTAGTATGAGGTCTATCTCCTATCCCTTGCCTCACCCTTTTATCAGAAACTCCCATGTACCATTCCCTTTTGGTCACGCTAACTCCCTGTGAGCGAACCTTAGTTCACTAAGGGTGTTCAGGGATCACCATTATTTATCTTGGAGATGTAGTACTTCTAAAACAAGTCACTATCAGGCTTCCTGAATAGTCCTTGCCTTTGTGAGGTGAATATCTGCCCTGGCAGTCCTTCTAGACATTCAGCCCTCATCTCTTTTGAACCTTGTGGGATCAGGTGAGGTGAGTCAAGGTTTAGAGCCCTCTGTTGCTAGGGGGCACCTCTGGTCTTTCCTTACTATGGCATCATTTTATGTTCCTGTGTTTGGTCCTAGTTCTTGGAGAGGAGTGCATTCACTATGTTGACCATGCTTTAGACTGTAAGCCCCTCCCTATTAAATTGTTTTTAGTTTTAACTCTTTTGGTTGAATCAGGTAGACAAGTTTCCACGTTCTGATCCATGATTCAAGGTTTCCCTCCCATGCTGTTTCTTCCTCACCAGTGTAAGCATTCCTTGATATTTTGGCATCAGACTTAGTCTTGCCTTCTTTGTACCAGGTGTTGGTTTGGCCTTTGCTGCTGCCTGAGCTGCATGCAGGCTCAGTTTTGTTCATGTTGGGCCTGTTAGCAGTTATTTGCTGTTTCCCACCCCTCGGTTAAGACTGCTTTTGGATGTGCTAAAAGTAAATGACTTTCTGTAGTCCTCAATGAACAAGCAAGACAACAGGGTTTTGTATTCAGCATAAAATCCTTTTCTTGAGTGATACAATTAGGGAAATAACCTCCTTGTGTTTTATCATGCTGTTGGTATTGCTTGTTGCAATCTATAGCATGCTTGATAGCAGTATGGGATATCATGGGATGGCCTATAAATTTTTTATTTGGTGGTGTCTAATCCTTTTGTAGTCAGCTATACATTGTACATTACTTCCTGTGTCCCTCAGTGGGCTCCAGGAAAACAATTCTACAGTGAAAACCATCTATTTTATGCCAATTTATGCCTCTAAAAAAAAAAAAAAAGTACAGCCTTCTATACCTTTAAAACATCCCTGGGCGGAAATATGTTCAAGTTTTTTCCATGGACTGCCACACACTGTATTCAACTCCAATGTAAGGTAAATGAAAGACAGACTTCAGTTCAGATCCTATCCCATTGGTCACTCCCTTCTGACATGCTGCACCCACATTGGGCTGAATCATATTTACCTTACATTGTAGTTGAATACAGTGTGTGGTGGTACCTTCAGATGAGTTTTTTTTCTCTGCCAGCACCTGAATACAGAGTGTAAACCTGGGAGACTGATACTGCAAGCTTGGAACTGTCAATCTGTTATAGTATTTAAGTTGTTTCCATGTTTATTTTGTTTCCAGATTTGCTCAATATATTAGTAGGCTCTTCTTATGGCTTTGTAGAGAATAATGGCAATTTGACAAATGTTGGGCATGCTATGCTACTTATGGCACTTTATGCTTGGCTTTTTATGTGTGTTAAAGCCCATTTTACCCACTTGTTATGCAGAGCAGGAAAAAGCATAGTCAAGAATAGAGATATTCTATACTCCAGATGTGTTCATAACACACAAAAACAAAATGTGTATGTTTTTGTGTATTTTCCAATTATTTAAAGGGGCTGGCATAATATTTTACACGTGGATTGGATTTTTCAGTAACATAAACGCAACTTCATATCAGGGTGACAGGATAAATTTCCCTTATTTGAAAATCAAAATGCTCGCGTGCATGAACTGGCCTTACAGTGACTGTAAGCACTCGCCTTGTAAAGCAACCCATTCAGTTTAAATGAAAGGCAAAATGGTTGTGTATAGATATAAAAAATAAAATAAGTACCACCTTTCCCTTTTTTGTAAATAATTTCATACCCCTCTGTTCTCAGCTGCAGAAGAGCTGGGGGAGGAGAAAGACCAGCACACTGATCTTTCCAGTGAATGGCTGTGCATGGGGGGGGGGGGGGGGGTGGTATGGGCGTGTCTGGAAAAGTCTGCTCATGGAAGAAGAGCACTGAGTTCCCAGCACAATTAGAGAACTCACCACGCTGTACTCTCCTGTTTAGCATGGTCAGTTTTTAACAGGAAGGCAGAGGGAAAGAGAGGAACACCAGGGATTTCACACAAAGGAAGCAATACAAAGAGAACAAGATACTTTTTCATACAAGTACATGGTACAGCAGGCACATATCAGGAGTATGAAATGTTGGGTTTACATATTCTTTAAATTGTACAGTATGCCTATGGAGTAGACATGCTACTGTACAGGTGTAGTCTTTCTCATCTTCTGTACCTTATTGATATGAATTATGTGTCACTTTAGCAGCAACATACATTTACTATGTGCATATATTCTACATTGACCCAAGGGACATGCATAGAAGGATGACCCCATCAGTCAGCTAAATGCTCCAGCTCATTTTTATTTCACTATAATGCAATTATATTCTTTTTAAAGGGCATATAGTTAATGAAAAGATATTGATGTTTCAGTGTTTAGAGTATATCTAAACACAGGAAAGAAATGGCTTATATATATATATGGATAATATTGGTATGTGCATACTTTTTCTTGTTGAAGCAATAAATAAACCTTTTTCATGTTTTTTATAATTATAAAGCTCAAATATTAAAGTGCTACTATACCCAGGATTCTGCATTCACTATATCTGGTCTCCCACAGTACACAGAACATGGACATGCAATTATTTTAGTAAATATAAACTGCTAAATACCTTTTTCTCATCAGCAGGACTTAGAAGTCTTTTGACTTCTATTAGTGTCCAGCCAAGCACTGCTTCAAGCTTGTAGGAGTTTTCATTCTCCCCTGACTGTCCTATGAGGCATGACCCCTGACCCTCTGCCTGGGAAGTGCTAATTGGCCCTGTGTTGATCACATGCACCCTCCCAACAAAAGAAAAAAAACACTCTAGCAATACACACCCTACTGAGCATGTGCAGAGTGCCTCCTAGGGCCCTGAACTGTCAGCAGATGGATTGGGGGCTGTGGAAGAAGGGGGGATCAGAGAAGACAGGATCAAACATCCTTTTTACACACTGCGGAGGCTTAACCCTTTAGGTTCCACAGTGAGTATAACGAGCATGCTTTACTGTATATACAGACTGATTTTTACTGTTATGGGTTTAGTAACACTTTAGGTAATAGGAGCCCTATGGACAGTTTTAGGCCCTGTGCACTGGAGATGCTGCAATATTCCTCTGGATGTAGAAAATATCTCCTGCACTTTGATTACAGGCCTTACTTTTGATTCAATAAAAGTCATTATTAATGTCTTCATCACAGCTGGCAGTACAAGTCTTTTTGTTACCAGTTGCAGCTATGTCACTGATTGCGGCATCTGAGATACATTCAGTGATGTCCTTGTACTTGTGTATACTGCTTTCTGTAACACTGTGTGGCATAAAGGGTGTTTTAATCTGAGGGAATCCATATTGGTGTTTGGGACATAATCAAGGCAATCCTTCAGGAAACAACAAACAACATACTTTTAACTTCTGTTCCAAATGATCCTGAACTTTTTAGTGTTTTTGTTTAGAAAAAAATATTGTTTTGTACATGGTTGTATAATTTCTTCACAATATTTTTTGATCAGTGTGTCAAAGTCCATTTGATTGCATTATAGCATTTCCTGTGTGCTGTGTGTCCCCTTTTTTCTGTATTACACAAAAGAAAAAAAACAATATTGTTTGGTGTTCTTCTCTACTTAGAATTAAACCTTAAAGTGGTTCTAAAGCCTGAAGGTTTTTTACCTTCTATGCATGAAGGTAAAAAAAATGTACGTGTGCAATTCCACCCCCCCCCCCCCCCCATATTTACCTGAGCCTCATCCCTATCCAGTGATGTGCATGAGAGCAGTAGCTCTCCTGGGTCTCTGCCTCCTCATTGGTTGAGACACAGCAGCGGGAGCCATTGGCTACTGTCAGTCACAGCCAGTAAAGAGGGAGTGGGGGGCAGGGCCGAGCCATGCTTTGTGCGTCTCATAGACATAAACAGGCAGCTCAGGAGCGAGCACGCACGAGTGCCCCCAGAGCAAGCAGATTGCTCTGGGTGCACTCAGCACAGGGGAGGGGGCAGGAGTGGTGGCAGAGGACCTGAGAAGAGGAGGATCGGGACTGCTCTGTGCAAAACCATTGCACAGAGCAGGTAAATATGACATGTTTGCTATGTAAGAAGAATAAAATCTGAATCTTTACAACACTTTAATGCTGTACTGTACGGAAAAGAAACCAAAATATTTTTATATGGTATTAGTTATAAGCTACAGTGTCAGATGAAATCTTAACAATTGTTGATCACCTGAACTATAATTATAGAAGAAAAAACCATTGCTCATGGTACACTAGCATGAAACAGTAGGTTGTATATATAATACTACTTTAAAGTATTTGTAACCCCAGTAGATTAGGTGTCAGCAGTGGGGCTAGTCGGGGGAAGTGTCCTTGAAACTGGTGAGTGTGCTCTAGGTGTTCTGCATCTCCTGACCACAATCCATGGGATGTAAACTGACCCTGCCAGCATGGACCCACTTCCATGCTTGGTGTGGTCAGTTTTTAAAGGGCCCCAGGGAAACTGGCAGGATGATCAGGTATTTCACAAGCATATATGAACAAAAAAATATGCAGACTACATTTAAACATAACTGGCTGACACATATATACATACTGTATAATGAATCAGCATTTACAAAAAGGTTTACAAATACTTTAAATAATGTGGCTTAAGAAATGGTTTTGACACTGTGGTGCATAATTTTTTTTTAAACATTCCCCCCCCCCCCCCCCCCTTTTCCAATCTACGGTAGACAACAGAGTTGTTTTAATAATAATCAAAAAGTGAAAGTGATTCTAATTCTGGCCATAAAAGAAACACAGAAATGTGTAAACTGTAGTGTTTGCTTACATTGGTGATCAGTAGCAAGAATGCAATGCTACATTGGTGGTCAGAGAGCAGAATGCCCTCCATTGATAGATGGCTAGATGTCTATAATTACGTAGTTGGTAGACAAGAGGAGGAAACACCACTGGACACTGACTAGATGAAGTTAGCACAGCTTTACTGACTAAGCGAAATTGAAATTCACCAGATTGTTTTTATGGTGGTGTTATCTCCTAAATGCTTGGAGGCCATAGACACTGATGGAAAAGAAAAGATCTTTGTGAGATTATCATTTAAGCATGTATCGATAGGGCAGGATTGCTTTGCTTATATCAATAATCATGTATTACTGGATATTTAAGACTGTTCTTTAAAATTAAATGTGCTTATTATTCTTTAGACTTTATAGCAATTTTAGTTCTAAATGAGCAGAAACATTATTTCTAGTGGTAAATCATAAAGCACAACAAATTAATAGACAATATATAGTAATCTAGTCTTCAAGAAACAAATCCATCTTGTGAAAGCCAGAGGCTTAATTGTCAGTTTTGTTTATCCCTTCTTCAGATATGCAAAAAAATCCCATGAGGCAAAGGCCAATATCAACACAATTCTTTCCAAACGAAAATAGTTTCAATTTTCCCTACAGCAGTCAAGACATTTAGCTGTTGTGTTTTGATCAATACAGCCCATTAAGTATGCAGTGTAACAAACACAATGCATGAAATATTAATTGTGTGCATTTTAGCTAGATAAATGTAGTTTTATCGTTTACAATTGATGCCAATAGTTAAGCCACATTTCATAGATTTATCAAAGAAATTAGTTTTGTTTTTTTTTATGATAGGCATATGATATGTAACATGCCTTGACCTCTTAAGTTATACCTCCCTCCTTATGTGTTTTATTCTAGTATAGTATGATTTTATTTTGTTGTATTTCTATATATACAGCATCAGGGAAAACATCCAGTTGCCTTTTCACTTTATGACAAAATCTGGTAGCTCTGACCGGAAAAGTATTAGCTAACATACATAGCAATAACAGTGCCTCATTGCATATGTCATAAGTAGATCATCGCTATTGGGTTGAAAAAGCTGATGTTTCATGGATTTGGCAATGCACCTAAATCTAATCCCAAGAAATCTTATTTGTTGCCACTAAATGTTATTTTATTACCTCAAAATGGCTAGTTTTTTTGCTTTCCTTAAAGTGTATCTAAATCTAGAAACATATATTTTATTTATTGCAGATTACCACTCCCTAAATGTTATGGTCACTTTAGATTTTGTTTTAGACTTGTTCCCTTTATTTTCACCTGGGCGTTCTGTGAATATCATACTTTCTGCTCTTCATATATCTGCCTTTTTTTCCCATTGTATCTAGGGAGTAGCAAAGATTGTCATATGGACTAGATTTCAAACATATCTGCCATTGTTCATCTCCTTTACAAGGTGGATTGATGGGAATTGTAGTTTACACAATAACAATAAGGTTCTCTGCACTATCTTTTAAGAAAGCGACAAGAGCGGTGCATTTCTGCAATATTAGCAGGCATTTTCTGTATTTGCTGAACGTTTTTAGTCTCAAAATCTAATGCAGCCATGTAAGGAATGGTAAGATGCAATATATTGCATATTTAATTTGGGGTTTGGATGTGTATTCGTAGACACCACACCGAGGCTCAACCATTACCCTGAATCTAGCAGTATTTGAGCGATAAGCATATGAGATATGTGACTTACTTTTGTATAAAAAAAAAATACCTAAGGAACAAGAATGGTGTACTGTAAATTTATCTGATTCTTGCGCAAATGACTTGAAATTGTAAATTTAAAAACTCCTTTTTTGATTAGAGCAAAAACACAAATTACACACGCTGATTAATATAGTTGTATCAGATCAGGAGTTCATATTGCTATGAAGCCATTCATATTCAGAAGAACTTTAGCTGCATTTGGAGATTCTTTATCATGGTATTGGCTCTATCTCAACACTAACAAAGTGGATGGCAGATCATTTCAGGTCCACTGACCATTTATCTTTGACTAAGGAGCTTGAGAAAGGATTAGGAGACTTGAAATATCTTAATGTTGCTATGGTACTTTAGTTGAACATCTAGACTTGGTGTGTATTTGGGGAAATAAAATATGAAAGAACAATGTTATACACATGCAGACGCGATCAACTGCATTGCTTTTTTTTTTCTATTCCTGTTGTTTGATGGTAGCACAGGTATTTCTTTCCTATTATGCAATGCTGTATATGCATGCTTCTTTGTAATAAATTGATGTACGTGTTTCCAGGTGCATTAATCTATTGCTAGTTGTGATTGACCGTTTTCTTGTAAAAAAAAGACCAATCTGTGTTCTGGAGGTTGGATCTCACTGGGTAAACAACAGAAGAAGACAGTGACAAAATAAAAGTAGAACTTGTAAATTATATGAATATGATTAAAAAAGTATAGGGCAGTGCTTGCAGCTGGGGGTTAAAAAAGAATGTGTACTGATTTAGAAGTTGTCAGACTGACCTACTTCAGAACCTACCAGATTTCACCTGCTCCATCCCCTGGTATTTGTGGCGTCACATTAGTTTCTGATGCATGAATTTGTGTAATCTTCACATACTATGCAAGCAATTTAGTTTTCCAGAGGCTTGGTTAAACTGAATAAATGAGTTTGAGATGCCTCATAGCAAATTTGTGGGTATCAGAAACATATGTAAAAGGAAATTACTTTCTATAGCCAGTTGGAGCAGTAAACCGTAACCACTGTGTAGCAAGGCAAAGCAGGAAGGCAGGGCCTGAATATTTAATAAGCAGATCTGTCCCTGTGTACATATATAACTATAAATACAAACACAATTATGACAATATTAATACATATTGATAACCTTTCCAATAACATTTCCTTTAAACTGCTATGCTGCCACT